GGTGGTCTGGGGCCACTTCAGAAATTTCTGAAGTGACCCCCTTTTAAAAAATTATTGCCCACCTCTGCCCTATAGTATACTTGAATAGGAGTAAGCTATAAGACACTTTTTGTATTGGTATAACTGTACCCATAAACAGGTGCATAAGCATTGTAGATCAACCTGAGGGATTGTCTGCATAGAAAAGTAGATTCAATTTAAGGTAGGCTAAATAGTTAAAGAACAGCTGTTCCTGGTTAACTCCATGTATGGATGTTCTTATTTTGCACTAATTCACCATGAAGACATATCCTAAGTATCAAGGTGCCTAAAGATCTTGTTTGCAAGTGAGTTTAAGACTTTTGTTAAACTGATAAGAGTTCCACTTTGGTGGGTTACACCAATTTAACTACATCAGTTTCTAGTTAAGCTGGTGCACAGACTCTGTGTGGTCAAACTTGAGACCACTTCTGTATTTCACAAATGCCACCAAAACCCATTTGGCTCCTACTGATGTGGGCTGCTGAGTTGGAAGGGAAAGGCTCTCTATTCCATTACCAATCCTCTGATGCATTCAGTCTACCCTACGACTGGGTTTTTCTATGTAGGCCAAGTAGCTATTTGCATGTCCACATGATGACACATTATGTTTATGAGTAATCTTCCGTGCTGAATCCTGTGGTTTGATAATTTGATAAGCTAATGGTATAAACACCAGTGTATTCCCCTAGCCATCTGTGACAGTATTAGTTTGAGAACTCCAGCAAATGGATGGGAAGGATCTCTGCCTTTAGTGCTGCTTTCTTTAGTATTTACCCTCTTGAGTATTTTCAGATTAAATGATATTCTGATCACAGGATCGTAGATGTTGTCCAGTTTCAACCTTATTTATCGTATTTGACTCAGTTCATAGAATTAAACACAGAATAGTCTCTGACTGGGAAGGCTAATCAGCAAACTGCTTTTAAGAAACTCCTGCTCTCTCTAGAAAAAACTTCCCTGGGTAGATTTTGAAAGGTTGTTATCCTAATACAAATTAAAATTAATTGAAGTTTAGCATCAGCTATACCATTTTTTCATAACTAGGAATAGTCTTATTTTGCTTTGGATTTTTCTCAGTTTCATTAGATTATTGCCTCAGATCTGAGACTTGGTTTTTTTCTTTTAATTTGTTAGATCAGAGAATAAAGCTGTCATTGCCATTAAATTTTTATTGGCCTTATTCAGTCTTTTCAAAATTTCACAAGTTAGCTGTCACAAGAGGGGGAAGACTGTGAAGTTAATGTTACACATAGATGGTATAATTAAAATTAAATAGCACAATAATATTCTCCACCCTTAAATATTGGTTCCACTTCATGCAATTGGCATGGCCAAAACCAAAAATCCATGTGTGACATGCATTCTGAGACACTGGAACATATTGCCAACACTGTCCCCTCCACAACATCTAGTCTCAGCTCTCTGCAACTGTTGGGCAGGGAGGAAATGTGGCCCAGGAAAGAGGGGCATAAAGTTGAGGGAAAAGCAGATGTACACATTTCTCTTTGTAGAACAGGATAAATTACAGTTGCACTGTGATTTATTGCTGCCCTGACCAGCAGTAGCTTTCATTGTGTTGTCTTTCCACGGTATAAAAGGGGACTATGGGTAGGTGGCTAGTAGACCAGCAAGTGACAACACAGCCAGAGACACAGCTGTTGGCACAAAGATTTAAGGAGGGTCATGAATGGGCTAATGCCAGCAGGAAACAGCCCTGCAGTTCTCATCATCTCTACATCCAAAACTAGTATCCAAACCAGGCAATTCTACTCTATCTCCTATAAAAAATGAGGCAGCCACACATCTCTTGTGGTAAGTCTTTCCTCCCTTTTCATGTCTTGAAAAGGAAATGAATCATTATTCCTTAATGGCAGCATGATGCTAAAAGCCTCCGTATAGATAGGAATGCTGGTACAGTATGACTAAATGCTTCTAAAGCAAAGAGTAAGAAAGAGCTCTTCATGCAATATGATTTTACTGTATGTAACTCAAAAGCCTGTAAGGACCATACATAATAAAGGAAAATGAAGCAGCACCTTGAAATGTGCTCTCACTTTTCAGGTCTAAGTGGTATAAAGTAGTCACCTGATCTGATTATAATAGTTGCGTCATTTTACTATTGTTTGTAATCAGGCAATGTTTGAAAATAATGCAAGATGCTGGAGGTGAGAGGAAAACAATTAAAAAATATTAAATCCTTGCTGGACTGTGCTGTCTCTCCCACCCATGTACTGAGGTCTCCACTCTGCCGTTAACGTATTTCCCTATGTCTCTTGTGGTATTCTTCTCCCCCTCTTTTGTCTTTGCCCTTCCTCTGTGCCCTCTGATTTCTCTGGTTCTCTCTTTGAGGTAATTAATACACAAGGCATCTGTCTCTTGTGAGATAGCAGATTCTTGCTAGTGCTGATTTATGTGTAGTAGCAGATGCAAGGGCAGATAGTATGTTGGATGGGAATCACAGAAGGAACATCATGCTTTCCAGGTCAGTATTTTATCTAGATTAAGGAGAGTGAAGACAGCAGTACTAATAAGGGCATCCTCTCTATTAACCCCTTCATTCCTGCACATACATGCATCTGTGCAAGCAGCAAAATATCAGGTGCACATTTGCCAAACAAGCACATTAGCAGCAGTGAAATGATTTTGGAAAAAGGTCTGAAGGACATGGCTACAGGGGTGTTTGCTGTAATCAACAAATACTTTATAAACAAAGAATACAAAAGGGTTTCAAAATTCCCATTAGAGTATCTAATCCTGCTTAACCATGAAGTCAAGACAAGTAAGATTTGGCTCAGTTTTATAGGAGTGGTGTTTGAAGGTAAACCACATCTTCCTGTTTAGAATAGAATGTGGAAGGGTGACCTACCTCAGCATTTGCAGGATCAAGGTGTCTGTTATTAACTTGTGAACTTGCACTTAGCTTGACATGCTTCCCCGATAGTCATCTGAAACCTCTTCTGTTGGGAAGCAAGGGAGCCCACTGGGCAAGGGCCCAGAAATATGCTGTTTAATGTTGGTTCTGAGCAGGTCATAGTGCTTTAAGATCTTCAGCTGCTTAAAAAATAAAGTAAGTCTTGTTTTTAAGAGTTTGATGCTTTCTGACAAAACTGAAGACACAAGTGCTTTATCTGCTCAAAGAATGGGTGCAGCAGAAGTAGTGTCCTTTCCCCCTGGTTCGGCCACCAGCCAGTGTGCACCAACTCTGACCTGGAGTGTCCAGATCTACTGCATAGAAATTTCAGTCTTTGTAGCTAGTTCAGGAGTCTCTGTTGAGACTTCCAGTAGGGCTGCCCATCTGTGCCAGTATTCTGGCTTTGTTTGTAAACATAGACTACCCTAGAAACTGGACATGGGCCTTGTAGATTTTTTTATACCATATGCATTGTCACGGTTTCTGATGTCCTGCTCACTTCACAGCACTATCTCTTATCACATTGCTCACCCAATAGCAATTAGGAAACAGCGGCTTTCCATTATTGCCTGTCTGGCTTGGATTTGAACCAGTAACCCAGAGAGAAAAAGCCGCTATTACCAATTTATGGTGCTGTCCTTGCTTCTGAAATGAAATGACTTGCCTTGAGCTGTTCTAACTGAATAACGTTTGTTTCTACTTCAGAGCTACATGTTCCATCACAAGTTGGGATGACAGTTTACATACAGAACAGTGCAAAATCTCTGCATGTGGGTCCCTGTTCAAGTTAATCTGCACAAACATCTCAATGAAAGACCTGCATTGAATTTGGTTGTCCTGTGTATCTATAGTACTTTGGCCAGTTTCTGACATCTGCTAATTTGGGGGCACACTACAGTGGCAATGTACCCATTGCTTTATGACCACAATCCTCTGTGGGGAAAAATATTAAATATCAATGTATAAGGAGTGGTATCTGTATCTATACTATTATAAAAGGAGAGGTGTCTGTCATGCTGTCTGTCACAGAACATTTGAGAATACACTGGAAGACTTGAGCAATCTTGGGTGGGTCCTCCAGTGGCCTAATGAATAAAGTGCCGGCCTCCGGAATCTGGAGTCATGGGTTTGAGTCCTGCCCCAGGAACAGCTGGGTAGTTGCCTCCAGCTTCCTCAGGCCTAGAGCTGGCACGAGCTGAGGGTAGGGAGGTTGGTTACCAGCTTCCCCAGGGCAGGAGCCAATAGGGAAGAGCAGCTGACTCTGTAGCAACTGGCCCCAGGCAAGGGGGCTGCATGTGCAGGGCACCTCTGGGCCTGCCCCTGGGGGGGCATGATGCTGGCACATGGGGCTCTCAGTCTGGTGGGGAGGGAGGGTTGGCACACTGGAGATGTGGTGCTTCCTGCTTTCAACACCTTACATGGGGGACAGTGCCTGGCTCACCCTTCCCCCCCAGCGCAGGGCAGCTCCCAGGCCCCCAGCCACACCCTCCCCTGCAGCTGGGGATAATGCTGGCTCAGGTTTGCCCAGTCCTCTGGCCAGGCCACGAAGGACAGGAGAGCAGCCCAGCCTCCCCACCAGGCTGATCCCACTGGGGCAGAGCAAGGACCCCCAACCCCAGCTCTAGTGTCTGTAACAGTGTTTATTGTAACAGACACTCTGCACAAACTGATGAGAATTAAGGGGAAAAATCCTTTTTTTAAACAGAAGGGTCACATTTGGGGATTCTTGCACCTTCCTATGAAGCCTGATCTGGAATGACAGTTGTTCAGTTAATTTTACAAAATGACTGCAAGCTTTTTATAGCAGCAGGAGTTTGAGCTCTTCAAAGGAATAGTGTATTACTCCAACCTAATGCCTGGCATAACTACAAATTAATACCTTTTCTAAGTTTGCATTTTTATTATATGACATTTCCACACAAGCAATGACTGTGTAACTGGATGCTAGCAAATTGCAGCTGAGAAGAGTAGATAGAAAATGCAAAAGCATTCTACAGTATGTAGCTTTTTAATCATATTCCTGTATTCAGTAAAAGTAATGAGATTTCTTGTTTATATTTGTAATCAGCAGAGGCGACTGACTGCGATGAGAAACCAGACATTTCTCTACTACAAACAGGTAAAATGCATTACGTTTTTTTAATCTGGTTCCATTGTTTTTATTTATGTATAAAGCAGTTTTCAATATTCTAGATATTGCATGTACAGTCTGGGTAATCTGTACACAAGGACCAGATGTCCAAGTTTTGAGTGTCCTGTCTTTATGAAAAAAGGAGACAGAACATGTACCAAAATTACACTATTTCTTCCTTGATTTCCTGTTCATAAAACCTCTAGTTTCACTGTAATGACTAAGTGACACAAACAAGTAAGTAATTGTCCTGACCCCAGATAGGGAAGTTAATCAGCTAATCGAGTAGTCAATGGAATTTCCACCGACTACTCAATTAGTTTATAAGGGGTGAGGCGGGGCACTCTCTATCCCCGATGCACCTCTGCCATATTTAAAAGGCAGAGGTGCAACAGCAAACCTAGGGTGAGTGGAGACTGCTTGAGTCTCCACTCGCCCCAGATTCCCTCTGCGCTGCCTCTGAATTTGAAATGTGGCAAGAGCCCTGCGGGGGGCGCTTGCTACATATCAAAGGCAGAGGCACAGCAAGCAGACCGGCGCAAGCGGGGACTGCTTGAGTCCCCTCTCAAGCCATTTCCCGCTGTGCCTCTGCCTCCGCTGCCACCCCACGCAGAGACGGTGCTTGGGGGAACCAACTTTTAAGCTAGGTTTCTCCTAGCATCGGCTCCTGCTTCCCCCCTGTTACTGCCTCTGATACAGAGGCAGCAAGGGGAGGAAGCAACTAGTCAATTAGTCACTTACATCCCTAACTCCAAATAACATTTTGTGCTCATTCATTATATTTCTGGATACTTTCAAAATTCGTGACACAAAATTACTTCCAAGTACTGGCACAGCAGTTTGTATCATCATGTGCTTGAGGTCTGCATTGATGTACTACTAGCAATAATATCGTAGGTTTACAAACAGATTACAAAGTTCTTTATCTGATAAGAAAGGATCACTTTTAGCCTCACTACAGTCCCTCAAAATTCATCTGCCCTCAAATCAAACATGACAGTTATTTTTTAGCAAACAGCAGTATCATGCAACAGTCTAGGGCAGTAGCTGATTAAGATTTCCATATGCAATTAAAACTTCCAGTTGGAAGTAGGTAGGCCAAGAGTTTTCTAGTGATTTTGAGTGCTGAACATGAGACCCTACCAGGACTTACCTGATAGTTAGAAAGTGCTGAGCACATACCTTCTGATGTGTTCCAAGTTGGGCCTCCAGAATCACTGATCATTTTTGAGAATCTTCACCATATAGATGGTAATTACCTGTGTGTTTAAAATTTCACCAAAATGCAGCTTAGTAACTCTAGACATGAGAAAAATGTGGTAAAAGTCTTGAATGATCAGGATCTTGGGTTTAGTTTCTCTCAGATCAGTATAATATAATGAACACTAATGAAAAAGATTCCTTGGATATTAGTCATGCAATGTCTGTGAAGAATAAGTGTAGGGTAGCAGCTTGCTATATCCAGGGTAGTACTTTGACAGCAGTTTCACACGGAGCTATTATATGCTCCATGGTGGTCATGAGCGCAGTATTGCAACATTTGTCCTAGCACAAACTGCTAGCAGTGAGGTATTGGTGGTTGAAATCTTGTTTTCAAACCATCTGGAGTTACTCAGGAGTAGGACCAGTGAAGCAGTTGTCCTGTAGTCTTGTTCATGGAGTACTGGGGGCACATGCTGACTGTGATAGGAGCTACAGGGCTGCTTTCTTAGCTATCCACTGTACATTTCGTGGTACTGTTTTGATAACAGATGCAGGAAGGTCTGGTTTTAAAAGTCTCTTCCAAGTGATCTCCTGTGTTTCTGTTAATAGGGATGGAAGCAATTCTAGTAAAGGAGAACCCTAATAAATGTTATGTTACTATGCAGTGTTATCTCTTCATTTCTCTTGTAATTTTATTCAGTACCAGAATTATTTTATTATTTTATCATTTCCTCTAATGTAGTTTTTTTAGTATATCACATCTTATATTATTGGAAAACATTAATATAATGCATTAAGACCGCCATATTAGTAAAGAGAGATGATTTCCATTCTGGGAATTCTATTCTCTCTTCGGCAAGATTTGCAATGTGTATTTTTGAATGCATGCAAACTGCATGCCCGTATGCTCTGCACATGCGTGTGTGTGCTCAGTTTTAAGGCTTAAGATCTGTCTTGCAGAGTATATTTCTCCCTGGGATCTCTAAGCAGATCCCTAAATAAATGAAGCTATTTCTACACAGCAGCATTATTTCAGAATAACTGATGTTATTTCGAAATAACATAGCGCGTGTCAACACAGCAAGCCATTATTTTGAAATAATGTTGAGATGGAGGATTTCTTACTTTGACTCCTGTAGCCCTCATTTCACGAGGAAAAAGGGAAGTTGAAGGAAGAGTGTTCTTTCTTTGATTTCCTGCTGTGTAGACAGCGCCAAAAGCTGAATTAAGCTATTTCGATTTCAGCTACGCAGTCAACATAGCTGAAGATACGTATCTTAATTTGACTTTTGCCCTACTGTGTAGATATGCCCTGCAATAGTCCCAACAATCATTTTCTTTTTGAGAGAGAATAAAAGGTGCACTCCAAAGGCTTTCAGCCAAGCATTTCAATTACACACATTATTATATATGTACAAGTGACTCTTCAGAAATTGTATCAATAGTAGAGCTGTCAATTAACATGCGTTAACGCCTGCGATTAACGCAGTCCAGGATTAACGCATTAAATTTTTTAATACATTAGTTACAGGCGTTAATGCTGCGCTGTCCCCTTTGAGGTGCCGCTGCGGTGCTTCAACGGGGCAGCGCAACACGGAGCCCAGGATCAGCTGGGAACTCCCCAGCTGCCCCTAAACTCCACTGCCCCTTTGGAACAAGCAGAGGTGGCGTTTCAAAGGAGCAGCTGCCTCACAGCTGAGTTGGGGATCAGCTGTGCAGCGGCTGCCCCTTAGAATAATGCTGCGCTGTCCCCTTTGAGGTGCCGCTGCGGTGCTTCAACGGGGCAGCGCAACACGGAGCCCAGGATCAGCTGGGAACTCCCCAGCTGCCCCTAAACTCCACTGCCCCTTTGGAACAAGCAGAGGTGGCGTTTCAAAGGAGCAGCTGCCTCACAGCTGAGTTGGGGATCAGCTGTGCAGCGGCTGCCCCTTAGAAACGCTGCCTCCGTTTGTGGGGCTGAGCTGTCCAGCGGCTGCCCCTTAGAAACGCTGCCTCCGTTTGTTTCAAAGGGGCAGTGGAGCCCGGGGTCAGCTGGGGACTCCCCAGCTAACCCTGGGTTCTGGGGAGATGCCGCGCAGAGCCCAGGATCAGCTGGGGATTCCCCAGCTGACCCTGGGCTCCAGGGCTGCTCCTTTCAAACGCACGTGGAGACAGTGTTTGAAAGGGGCAGCCCTGGAGACTGGGTCAGCTAAGGACTCCCCAGCTGATCCCAGGCTCTGCGCGGCATTTCCCCAGAATCTGGGTCAGCTGAGGAGTCCACAGCTGACCCCAGGTTCCGCTGCCGCACAGAGGCCAGGATCAAGTGGGAAGTCCCCAGCTGCCCCTTTGAAATGCCAGAAGCGGTGGCAATGGAACCCAGGGTCAGCTGGGCACTCCAGCTGATCCTGGGCGCCGTGTTGTGCTGCCCCTTTGAGGTGCCACGGTGGATGGATTCTAGCTGATCCCAGGCTCCATGTAGCGCTGTCCCGTTGAAACGCCACCACGGCGTTTCAAAGAGGAGACCAACACAATTAATCGTAATTAAATTTTTTTATTGCTTGACAGCCCTAAAAATAGTTACAATTATTCAATCCCAAGAATGATATATTAAGTGATATACAGACAATATAATTTTGGTAATTATAATAAAGGTTACTGAAGTTGGATGCCAAAATAGACACCTTCAATCAAGGAGGCTGGTAAAAGACGGAAGAAATAATCTTTACAGCAATCCTTACCTGTAGATAAGATTCCTTTAAAAGGGATATCATTGGTGGATCATTTACAGAAATCTTGGATGTGATCTGTTCATCTGGTCTTGTGTGTTTAAATTGCATGCTCTTTGCTCTCGGTAGTCTCCTATTATGTGTTTGTTCAGTGCCCAGTACAATTGGCTTTGATCTCTGATGGGACCTCAAAGGAGTGCTGTAAGACAAATAATAAATCAATAATGGCCAAGGGCAAACTATCATGTTTGTCTTCCATGATGCAGAGAAATCCCTTGACACACAGATTGAATGGGATTACTTGAAAAGACTACTGCAGGAAGTGGGACTAGGAGCAACAACGCTTAACTGTATATATTTAAAACGTTTATTACCTTGGTATCTAAGAACTGGACAAAATTTAGAAGCGAGAGAGTCCAGAACAGATGCATTGAATAAAGTTTGGATAAATATGGAAAAATCAAATGTCTTTAATCTGCACAGAGGGAAGACTCAGAGGGTGTCCATTATTCCTTCCTTTGTCTCTGCGGTGTGTGTGTGTGTGTGTGTGTGTGTGTGTGTGTGTATATATATATATATATATATTTTAATCTGAACATGGGAGATACAGGCTGAGGACTCCCAGTATACATATAAATCGCTCAGCCTTTGTGCTCAGAGTTAATGAAATTTTGGACTTATGATTTCTTGTGTTAAGATAATATGACATCCAAATGTTTAATTATTTTTCATTATTTTTAAATTCTAAAACTAAGGAAGGATTTTTTGCCTAGCCAAGTTATTCATTTTCTATGAGAACAAATCATGGTGTGGTTTAAAAGGTATCTTTGATGTAAATTATTCCCTTCTGCTTAATTGGTGTAATAAATTGGGGGGCCTTTAAAGTGAAGTGGAACAAATATGGCTGTTAAAATTGAACTTATCAAAAACTTGGGTTTTGTTTCAAACTTTGTCATTAGGCTCTTGAAAGTATTGGTAAATTTACAGTCCCGTATTCACTTCAACATAGGCAGAAGACTGTTTAGGACTTGCCAAAATCCAACTGGTGTGGAGGGAGATCAGGCAGCTAGTTACCCAGATTAACATCTTAGTGTTAAGGAGACCATTGCTGATGTTGGATAGACGTTTTATTTATTTTGAGCATAGTGAAAATATGGCATCCCTCTTGGATCTTTAACTTTCCTACTTAAGGAATAGTGGCTATGACAAGAGTTCTGATACGGGCATATGATTTACATTGCATATTTGGAATTAATGAGGATTAATTCTGCCTGACTCACCTTCCTAAAATACCAAGCAGGGAAACAAATCTAATCCACCCTCAGTATCAGTTGTTATGTATCTTTAGCTGAAACATTATACACTAAAGATGTGTACATCCAGGGATACTACAAGGTCCTCCTTTAGCCTCAAGCTAAGGGTTTAAGCAGGGCTGAAGAGTTTGCATAGTTCCTTTGTACTAGAATGAATATCAAGCTGTAAAAGAATTTGAGACCACTAATAAGAGTTCCAGTCTCAATCTTCAGGTGCCAGGAGATACAGCTTTGTGAAAAGATGGGAACAATCTCTTACTAAAGAAAGAGCTGATAAGAAAATAAGTATGAGCCAATCCTGTATGGTCTGCCTCCTTTTCTCTCAGAATACAATGTGAAGAAAATGATACCTTAGAAACCTCTTCAAAACCTTAAATATAAATCCTTTATTGTAATCTTTATCCTTTCAGTGCATGATTCTACAAGTTACCTTTTCATCTTGTTGTATTTGCCTCTTAAACTGACTGATGTCTGTCTCCTCTATGTTCTGTGTTCTTCCTTCTGTAGTTGTAATTCTTCTGTCCATCTTCCATTGTTCTGTTTAAAAATATATTTTAATGTGGTTTAAAAAAGATGCGATATAATCATACAATTTATCTCTGGTTTTTGTTCTGCTATAGGCATTTATAGTATCATGATTTTTCAAGTTTTCCAAAGAAATAACCCAATGTATACTGTGGGTTTGAAATTCATGTGGTGCTTTGTTCACCTCTTTAGAACCATAGAACTTCAAAGATATAAGCACTGTAGTTCAGTTTGTACAAAATTCTAACACTTTACGCCTTATTTCATGTGTTCTGTGTTTTTGGTATCAAAACCTCTATTCACACATTCAGTACATAATAGGATCTTTTTTGGACACTAAACTGATATCCAACAGTTGCCATCCAAACACAGACACATTATTCAGCAACCTCACAAATACTACCTTTGAGTCTCAAAATATTTAACTTCTGTTGGTTACTTTGGAAAACAACTTTAGGAAATGACTGAAGTGGTATAATTTATTTTTTCTAATTTATTGAAATCCTCTCTTTCTTCAGGTAGCATTCTTGAGATCACGACAGATAAGCCGGTCGACTCAAAACTAGATTTTTCTGCTTAAATTTTACTTTCTACGTCAGTGTTTCATTAGCAGATATAAACATCCTTCAGTTTGAACATCATTCCTGCAAGATCTGTGTAAGCATTTCTGCATGCTTCCAAGTGGGGGATGTTCCGTGCAGTTTTCCCTTCAAGTTTGGGTTGTTCCACCTTTTTTTTATGAAGCATAGGATAACAAAGCGACCAAATTGTTTCAAGATTTCTCATCATAATTAGAGGTGATTTTTTTCAATATCCAGTTCATTGCCTAATTAGTGTGGTATCCACTGCAATTGAATAAATTCATTTGCCTTTGTTTTTCATTCATGATTGTATTTTCCCACATGATTGTATGCTTGCTAATTGTATTTCATTTTAAATTATACAGAAGTAAAATTAACAGTTTAGGGAGCTGTGATGGAATTTTCCCCTTCATGGGACGAGGAAGCTAATAAGAACATTCAGTTATGGGGATTGATTTGTTCTTGTTTGTTTGAAAGGCCCATTTTTGCTTTTTGTTCACCATTTCGCTATGTTTGAAGATGGTACAAACTGCCTGTTGAACTAACAAGGCACATATTGTATTTGGACATAGGGAGACTAGAGCAGGGTACGTGCTGACAATATCTGTTTCCTAGTGGATAATATACAGAATGTATTTGTGAACTGAGTGGCGTTCTCAGCCACTTTCTGGTGCAGTAGTTCTCCAGAGTTTTTACTTCATAAGACCACTCTTCCCCACAGCCTCACACAATGCCCCGCTGACTGATTCTCAACGCATTTTATTTTGTAGACCACCAGAAAAAGGGTTCATGGACTCTGCTGGTCCACAGACCATCATTTGAAAACCACTGCCCTTGTGGACATATGTGGACCTGTGGACATGTATACACCTACATAAACCATCATTACTGTCTTCTGTTGACAGTCTCAGCAGTTAGGATGAGTTAGTTTGACCAAGAGATTAACTACCCTCTCAACCCTCTGTGTGGTCCCTTCAGGTCCGGACTGAGGCTTACTGATGTGGCAGGGTGGGGAAAACCACACTGCTGCTTCTTATGCAACATCTCCTGTTGCCCTCTGCACCTTTAACTATGCACCTTCACCAGCACTAAATTCACTTTAAAAAAATAGAGAGAAAAATATAGAAAGTATCTTATTCCACAAATATATTGATCACCAGCCAGTTAACTAAGAGTATAGTATGTGTGTTTCCTGTAATGCTACGGAGTTCAGTAGACTTCGCCATTGTGTTTTGTTTTCCTTTGTATATTTTCAGCCCATCATGATGCTTTCTCCTTGAAACTATTTGGTCTTTTTTATCACGTGTTTTAACAAAGTGCTTTTACAGAGTGTAAAATTTTTCTCAAAATATTTAAAGGGTTTTTTTTTTTGCTGCTTTTCAAAAAAAAATATTTGTCAAAATCATTAACTAGCCTGAAGACGAGCGGCCGGATGGTCACAACTGCTGAATACTCACAACTAACACTGAAGCCAACAGAAACTACTGATTCTCAGCACCTTTGAAAATCAGGCTGTTGACCTTTCTCTTCCTGTTTTAAAACACATGTACTATTAAAAGTAATGATGTTCTCTTTAAAATTGTGGACTATATTGAATGTGCACTGCAGACCTTAAAGAGCTTTTCCTTCAAAGTCTGATAAGACTGCTTCCCCCGTGACCTGGATTTCTGAGCAGGGCTGTGGCAATCTACAGTCTGTGCAGTGAATCTACCAGGTACATGTCACAACCCTTAACTGATGGAATCAGCATTTTTGTAAATTTTTAAAAATTGCATTTGTGTTTACTTACTGTGACTACTGTTCAGACTTTCTTCAGCAATTTTTATAGGGTTTATTAGAAAAATCATTCCATATTTAGGTAAAGCATCTCAATCTTCTGTATATATGTTTTATTAATATGTAAATATTTAGATATTTTTAAATTGCTATGTTCTTAATAAAACAACAAGGGGCTAGTTGTGAAATGGTGTATAACGTTGTGTTGTGTTATCAATCTCTGGGAAATCCTCTTTGTCAGTTCAGAAAAGAAAAACCCACAATAAATTACTTTAATTGACTTTGTGTTTTCTGTGTTATATACCAGATGTCTCTATTTAGAACAGGGTACTTGTTAGTTTAATGATTATTAATATTTTAACAACCTTGTACAAAAATGGCAATTTCAGGGAAGCTCATGGAAAAACCTATAGGTTACACCACAATAAGGCTTTTGTATCTGAATTTTAAACTGTTTTGTCTGCCAAATCGAACAATATAGCTACATCAAATCTCATACATATCAAATGTTGACATGCTTGAAATGCTTAATAATTTTAATTAAATTAGATGCCTTTCTAATATTAACTTAAAAGGTTAAGCTCTGCTTCTATGGAAACAACACATAGAAAAGACAAACCAGTATTCATAATGTAAAAGTAGCTGCTACAGCATACATCTTCATAACTAGAACCTCAGAGTTACGAACACCAGCATTACAGATTGATTGGTCAACTTACACATTTGGAACTGGACATATGCAATATGGTAACAGAGACCCAACCACCACCCCCACAAATACTGTACAGTACTGTATTAAACATAAACTCCTAAAAAGAGAGGGAAAGTTTTTTAAAAATTGACAAGGTAAGGGAAATTGGGTTTGTGATTGTTTTCATGTAAACTAAGGTGGTTAAAAGCAGCCTTTTTCTTCCAGAGAGAAGTTTCAAAGCTGTATTCAGTCAACATTCAGTTAGACTTGAAAGATCTACCATAACATTTTGTTCAGAGTTACAAACAGTCTCCATTCCTGAGGTGTTTGTAATTTTGAGGTTCCATTGTATCACCCATCATCAAACATTGTTTAGCTTTAGAAAATATTTCCTGTGCAAACATGTTCCTGAGTAATAATCAGTCAATTACAGTGGCCTATTGAAATAAAAGAGCAGCCAGCCATATATTGTCTATTTTTATATAGTAGCAACTGTGAAGAATTGTGTAGTAAAGGATCTGATGGTGATTCATTTACAGATCTCAGAGGTTGTATTGAGCTTCTGAAATTTTGCATGCATGTACAGATCTTGAATCAGTTAAGTGACTTAATTGTAAAGTACAGGCAGTCCCCGGGTTACGTACAAGATAGGGACTGTAGGTTTGTTCTTAAGTTGAATTTGTATGTAAGTCGGAACTGGTACATATTGTAGGGGAAACTCTAGCCAAACATTTCTCCAGAGCTCAGTTTTATTCTCCCACACCTCACTTCCCTCAGGGTATTATTCTCAAACTGAGGTGTCTGCTGAGAAAAGCTGCTCCGCATCTCCCTGGTCTGCTGGGGG